GTGTGCCTTGGCAGTCTCGCATGCGTGAGTGGCAATAACTCTCCTTACCAGCAGGCGGCGGTAGTGTGTATTCGTCATTCAAAAGAGCAACAACCGGAAGACAGAGAAGAAGAACAGACTCCGTGATATAAACAAACAACAAATAGCGTGTGCATTCCATTTTCACTCTCGTCCATCGAAAACATGTCTCATGCGGTACTGGAGCTATCAGCCATTGGAGTGTTTCTTGCGGAAGACATTCTTCGTGCCTTCTTAAAGCGTTTGTTTACGTCCCTCACTTCCGTTTCGCTTCTCATGCACTGATTCGCTAGCTGAACAGCCAATCAGAGTGATTTATTTGGCCCGACTGCCCGACCCGACTTCGGCCATGAAAGGCCAAATAAGGCGTGTCACTGCCGACGGTGTGGGACACACCAAATTGAGTTTGGGCGACAGGGCACGCTTCGTCGTCCGACTAACGAAAACGGCCAAAATCGGCTTGGTGTGTCCGGGCCTTAACCTAAGGCAGGGGTGTCCACACTTTTTTCACAGAGGGCCACATACAGAAAAATATATGAAGGGATGGGCCACTCACTAGAGGTGAGGTACATTGCCTCATAAGTTAAGTTATAAGTTAGCAAAATCAATCAAATGTGGGTAAATTATTTTTGATACTTGAAAATGCTTCTTTTTTTTAAACAGCCTACATCACAGCTTTCATAGGGTTTCATTTATTGTGTTGGCAGCTCATTCTTTAAAACAGAAGCCTCATATTGCTTATAATAAGAGGAAATATGAAGGGTATATTTCAAGCTTGTTATGTTTATAAGTTATTGGATTTTTTTCTTATCAACTTAGATTTGTTAGAAAATGTTTTGAATTTTAATTGACTGAATGTATTAGTGAAGTGGGCTTACTAACACATGAATACTGTGTCATATATTTGTACATATATATTATATATATTTAAGCACTATATAAGACAAACACAAGTTTCATTTGTGGGACATATTTCATTATACTTTTTGAATTTGCTGAGGGCCGATTAAAAGTGGCCCGCGGGCCGCATTTCGCCCCCAGGCCATAGTTTGGACACCCCTGCCCTAAGGCCTCATTATAATGCCACTTCCTTTTCCCACTAACTGCATGTATTTGACAAGATATTAGGGGTTTTTACTGCTTTAACTTAGACATAAAATCTACAGTTTCATAAACCCATTTCAACCTCCTAGATGGCAGTGTTGGGCCACACAAAGGTTGACAGTTCTACAATCAGAGGTTAAGCCGATGCCTTGGGTTATAGTTCAGTGTTAGGTGGCATTGGTGTGCATCTAAGGTGTGACATCCATGATTAAGACTCCAATGATAACATCTGATGATTTGATTCTCTAATCAGGTTTTCAAGCCGTTCCGTTTTTTTGTTTCCTCTCAAGGTTGCAACCTTGAATGTTGGAATAATTAAACATTAGTGCGTCCAGCTCTTGCCAGTGTGCACAAAGGCAGTTAAGCTCCCATCCATTCCAAACCTGATAAAGGTGATAAGGATCCAGCTTTAATAGGATCAGAGGCAGGGTTAAAAGGAAAGAGGATCTGTTCACATTGATACAGACGCTGCAAGGAGCTTTAGAAAATGATTGGAATTCAGTCTGATGAGACTGTGAAAATCAGGCTGACTTAAAATGAATAAGCAATTTATATGTTCTGGATGTGATCTCTTAAACCTGCTGG